AAAAAAAAAAATTTTTTTGACATAAAAATTGTTTATGCTTTAAAATAAATATGGAGGAGTGTCACGAGTGGTCAATCAAGTTTGGCCTTGCTAGTCCCTTACAGTCCCAACTCCCAAGCACGGCTGGGATGATTTGGTATGAAAGAAACAGGATATTCTTCAACAATTCCAATTAGGATGACGGGAGAGGATATTTGACTTTGTTCAATCTAGAACTTACAGCTGGATCAAAGGAAAGGTGCCCTACGTGGCCTTCAGCTATAGAGAATGGTGTCTATTTCCACACCTTTGTGCATCTGAAGTTTAATCATCCAGATTTTATTATAATTATTCGGGCATTATGCACTCTTCATCTTTTATGAGACTCTGTATTTAAGAGCTAGAGAAATAGAGTACCCCTTGTACTTTCATTAATAAATTTGATTTATTAGAAAAAAGTTGTTGACAATTACAATTAATTGAAATTTATTATTGATCTAACAACTCTTCGGTTAAAACTCCCATACTCTTAAAACTCAAACTTAAGTTATTAATAGCGACTGATCTCTATACTTATATACTACACTCATTCGGCATTACAAGAACCATATTGGATGCATCAAAAATTGGTTTCTAAGGACCCTAAAAGAAATGGCACACAAAGCTGAGAAATTAGAGACATTATTCGAAGAAAATGGGAGTTTCAATGTAGGGCATGTCAAAAATATATTGAACTTTATTTATTTCATTTACTCTTTCTGATACCAATTCCAATGAAATGAAGCTTAACCTGTCAACTGCAACTGCCCCTGCCCAATTGGCAATTACTGTCTATAATATCAGCTGCGGCAACCACTGTTGCTGGCATAGCTAGGGCTGTTAGAAGTGTGCTTTTTTTTTTTTGCACAGCAAAAGGTATTTGATTATATAGAGTAAAAGGGGTACTCCTGCCCATAATACAAAAACAAGGATTCTTTTCCTGAACAAAGGTGATTAATATTTATTTATTTTTTACCTTTCCAAGTTATCTTCATAGTCTTCCCAAGGTCTTACAAAATCCTCATCCTTAAAGGCAAATCCAGAAATAGAAATTCCAACTGATAGTCGCTGAGAATATGATTAGTCATAATTAATAAGTAGTTTATGAATTCACG